TGTTTTTCACATACATTTTGCATACTTACGCATATTGGCCTACGTCACTGTAACGTCACAGCTCACCAATGACACCCTTTTTAGTGACTAAACTTGTTAGGGGCCTAGATCTACAATAAATTAATTTTATTGAAGTCTTGTGAAAACAATTTTTGTTCTAAAGGTTTCAAAACATGTGTTCAATACAGTGGCGAGGCGTCTATATAATCAAATAATCACTGCTTCCATTCCTAATTTTGAAACGTTGTAGCAGTCAAATTTATCCATAAACGTAAACCGTATAAATTAAATGTAAAAAGACGTTCATAATCAACAATGAACAGTATGCCTAACATTCAAAACGGTTTCACTGCCACAGAAATAGCCTGCTCACCCCTCTCGGGCCACTCCATAAGCAGTCACAAGCTTTGATTTTAAATAAGGTTAAAGTGGGGCTGGAAGAGTCTACCAATAGAGTTGAAGGGAACATGAGCATAGCAGTCAATACTGTTTCATTGCCACATATAGGCCTACCATACCCTGTTCACCCCCTTCGGGTCAAATTTATAATCAGTCGTAAGCCCTGATTATGTAATTGAACTATTACACTGGTCGAGTCTACCTTACAGATGTGAGGGGAACTAACTCCTAATAATCTCTTTACTGCTGCGAGTGCTTGGTTTTTTCCCTCGACTTTTTAACGTCCTATAATCAGATCGTGACCTCGATTATGACACCGGCTCCTGGCCGCGAAAAGCTAGACAAAAACAGCCAAAAGTGAAATTTAAAAAAAATGATAATTGTCATGTTCTACCAAAGAGTTAGACTCCCTGGTAGATCATCTATAACATATTATAGATCTAGTACTGACATCTCGGTTTCCCTGCTTTGGGTTTGTGTATTCACTTCTAAATTTAAATTTAATTTTAGTTGGAATTGATATTTTTAATGAGATACTTTCCAGATTATTTTGGCGGTTGAATTCCGGATTTGTTTTCATTCACACAACTTATATTAAGAGTCGCCGCCTCGAGTAAGATTCTTGTGTGATATCTCCAGGCCATAATATCTGGTTCCGTTTCACTTTGGTTACCCTGTCAACAAGTCAGCCTTCGCCCCTGGTTCAATAAGCATAATATCTCGATTAGAAAAAATGGTGGACATGCTTTTAAAAGCAATTTTGTACCAGCAGCCTGTAAACGTTTTAAAATAGATCTGTAAAAACCATCGGCTAGGATTTTTAAAATTAGTATTTAGTAAGGAAATTTCTAGAATAATTGTGTAGTTGTTTGAGAAAATATTCATTAAATTGTTAAGGCAAACTGATACAAGTCATTGCACAACAGTTGGAAAGTTTTTGTTAGAGATAGATAAGGAGAAATTTGATAGTAAGTTGCGCCACGAATTTTTGACTGCACTATTGTAACATATATTTGCAGATGCTTACATAACTTTCTGTCCAAGTTGTAGTGACTAATACACCTGATGACCGTCACCAGCTCGATTGTCCTTGGAATCAACACACGGAGAAGGAGATGTAGTTACGACATTTACTTCACATGCGTCTTTGTCTTCAGCTAGGGGTGTCCCCCTTTAGACTAGATATGGCAAAAGAGGCAGAGGAGGACTAAGTGAAACCCGGAAAAGAATAATTTAGACTGAGATGGAGAAACAAGCTTTTTTCGAGAAAAAAACCCCCAAAATTAACAGGATGGACCGAATGGCGACTGCATGCCAAGTAAACAATAACAAAACAGAAATCTTTATTGTACACCCTAGGCCTACCGCCAAAATAGCATATTATGTAAAAAAAAAATTCATATTTAGGCCTAAATTAAACAATACAGAAAAAATAAATAATTTCATGAAGCATTATCGCAGATAAACCTCGTGCGTAACTCCACCAATTCAATTCTAAGCACGGCCTCCTCTTCAAAACCCCTTATGCCAATTGTTAAATTTACGATAAGATAAGAATTTGTCCTAGCGGGAAATTTTTCTTGGTTGGGACGAAGGAATGGTAAAAGTACATTGTGTAGAAAGAGGCCATATCGATTTTCCCAAGATTCTCCGTAAATTAGAAGACTTTAAACGTAGGCTTTAATTTTGGAAGATGCTGTCACAATATGCAGCCGATAGTCTTAACTCCACCACCACCATGTTAAGTGGCCTGTGATGAGTGGTGAAGATAAAACTCGGAAGTCAAGCCGCAAGGTTCCTTCATAATTTTCTTGCACCTGGCGCACTGCAATATGACTAAAACCACCCAACGATTTAAATGGGAAAATAGGGGCCATAGGCCGGGTGTCACCTGTATTAATAATAATAAAAGCAAAGATTTCCATTGCTGGAGCATTTTCATATATATATATATATATATATATATATATATATATATATATATATATATATATATATATATATATATATATATACACCCGCAGGTAATCTTATTAAAGCAAGGTCGGCAAATCTGTTGTAATAATCTATTTCGACGCAAAATTCCTGGTCATGCGACGCACCTGCCGTGCGGGACACAAACTAAAACGAGGCTGTCCTCATCGCAGAAGGATTTCCCCTTCTCGTCGAGTCTCGTCGAAAGATCAAGTTTTGCTTCACCTTCGAAACGACTGTCTGTAGTAAAATTAGAAGTACAGGGCATTGACCTCCATCCATGCGTGCCCGGCAAAACCACAGCGTCCTGGGTCCACCATTGTATTGCACGTGCGCACACTGTACTACTGTAGATTTTGATATACCGTTATGGTGAAAGATCTACTTTTGCGAAGTTTGTACGTTGACGCCTTGAACTTGCATAATTTATAATTAATTATTATAAGCTTACAACGCGAGCCCAATGCATAGTTGACGTCAGATTTCGGTGGTGAAATCCCCGCAGGCCAACTTTAATTTAACACCCAATCAAAACCACTCAACGAAAGAAAACAACAACAAAGCAAACAAACATATAACGAGCAAACGAGCAATAGGCCTACTACAAAACGTCTCTTCGGTGGCTCAAAATGGCATGTGCAAGCAAACGTCATGCTCTTTAACTCCGCGCATACGACATGTCTTTTCCCGCGCTTTTATTCTCACTGAGCTTTGGTTATTGGTGACGTGTGCAGGCGAGTAAGCATCAACAATAATATTATGTAGGTAGACTACTTCCTCAATACAGTAATACAAATAGCAATCAATGTATTTCTTCTTTACTACTGTTTTGTGAAAAATATTGAATCGTTGTATCCTAGTAGGCCTACCAAAAAAATAGATTCTACAGAAACAAAGAAAACGCGCAACGGACCCTTTACTTTCAGCGAAGTTATGGGATAGTCACACAATTTAATCAATATATAGAACAAAAGCCCCCCCCCCCACCCCACCCCCCCCCCTCTCTCTCTCTCTCTCTCTCTCTCTCTCTCTCTCTCTCTTCCCCCTCCCCCCTCTCTCTCTCTCATCTTGCTAGTTAATTAACATACACATTAGGTCTAATGTATTTTATAGCATTATTGTTGTTCCCTTTTTCCCGAGAAAGTCCTATATTAATTGGTATCTTATTTTGAACTTTTAAAGGGTTTAATTCAAAAATTGTGTTTGTGTCATTTGGCTACAGATGCTTACGAATAATGAAAACTAAAGCATGATAATACTTATAATGTTTATACTACAATGTACATGTAGGCTTCTTATAGGCTACTACAATTTATTGTCAGATGATGACGAAGATGATATATATATTATTAATTTGCCATAGTTTTTTTTCTCAAGTCTATATTTTACTCTCTTGCTCCATAAGTAAAACGCATATGTACATGTATGTATTTTGCTACCAGTGTTGTTGTTGTTTTGCTTTTTATCAGGTTCCTGAAAAAAATAAAAAGGACGACACGTCGAACATATTAATATTTTTTTTAACAATATAAAACTTCAGGTCAGAAATACTCAAGTCTCCATTTTTTTCTTTTCCAACTACAACAACAACGATGATGATGATGATGATGATGATGATGATGATGATGATGATGATGATGATGATGATGATGATGATAATTTATTTTAGTTTTAGTTGGCCTAGCCTATTAGATTTTACGGCGCTCGCAACTGCATAAGGTCATACTATGAGCGCCAAGGAGTGGATGTCAACAGACGAGTCCTTTTAAAAGTGAATCAGACTCTCTGCTCACCTTTCTAGCTTCAACAGCACAAAGTCTGCTTCGACTATCAAGGCACCCCAGAAATAGCGGGTCACAAGATTGTGACAAACATACAAAAGAAGTAGAGGTAAATGACGATAGTTAGGATTAGGAAAGAAAAAGCAGCAGTTCCTTGTTGCAGTTCAGGCAGTTATACATTATGAGCGTGACATCGATGAATCAGCCCTTTAACAATTCTACTGTGCATAAGAACCGTTAATGTTCCCCCTTTGGCCTTTGGGAATGACCTAAAGACACTTCAGTCAGTAGTCAGTAGCACCGCCCCGTGGGGTAAATAATAATTTAAAAAAATAAAAATAAATAATAATAATAATTATAAAACTGTCACCACAATGACTGCAACATTAATAACAATGTGTATTATAGTTACTCCAAGGTATTAGCAATGTCAACCGTAAAATCAATAACAGCTACAATAATAACCATAATACAAATATATAATATAGATCTATATTATGTAATCATAATAATCATAATGCAGCGACACGCCTCGGTTTAGATCAACTCCTTGGTTTAGATTCAAAGCGTTCTTATTCTAATGAGGGTCTCGGCCTTGGTTTATTTTGTAGGTTAGGAAATTAGGAATGATTATTTCCCCCCATCCGAGCTCTTGTTTCATATTTAATCAAAAACAGTACGACTTCCTCTGTAAAATTTGCATACCTCTACGTCATATTTGTGTCATCCAATGGAAACGATTCTATTTTTAAACCTACACTTCTTGACGGTGTTTTCCGTTCTCATATTGAACAACCCCCGAAGAAAAATTTGAGAAAAACTAAAAAACAACCGTTAAAAGTCATTTAAAATATAATTACCTGAAAGAAAAATCTATTTACCATGTTTTAAAAAGAAAATGAGGATATTTCCACTCTCAAAATAATCTAGAAATGAGAGAATTCCTACCCCTACCCCTAAATGAATAAAATGCAGAGCTCCTCGTGTGTTCACACTGGCTTGCATTATGACCTCTTTGTGACGGTGGGACAGCATTAGGGATGAGTGTCTTCATTTTGTGGACAACAGTCAAAGTGTCGGATTAAAATCTACTCTGACACCCAGCAGTTTGTTTGTGGGATGTATCGTTCATCGTTTTATGTGGGTGACAGACTGATTTAGACCCATTCGGCAGCTTAAAAGGCCTTTGTGTTTCCCTCCAAAATCTGACTGGCAACATGCCGCTTCTTCGTAAGCTACCATTCCATAGGCAGAAAATACCCCACGATCTCAACCCAGAGGAAGAGGTGTTTCATTGCAAAATCACAAATGAAATTTTCAGGGATTACAAGTAAGTAGTAATCAATCTCTTGTTTGAGTAGGCATAGCGACACTCCATTGTTTACATTATTCATCCGTTACTTCCTCTGTCTTTCCATCTTTCAGCAGAGTCAAAGACTTCGGTCTAAAATTGCTACATCTTGCTTGTATGTGTATCCTGTGTTGGGTTGGCGTTTACTATCGACTGCTTCTCCATGCTGAGGTGCTAGGTGGTTGCGCCATTTTCTTATTCACTTGAAGTCCCTTGCCGCTGGTACAAAATGTTTTGGTTTTTCTTTCAGTGCCTTTTTTGAGAGGATTATCCTGTGTAACAGCCTTGTGTGGTCATGTGCAATTACTGGGAAGTCTGGAATGACATTTCAAGAGGCAGAAGAATGTGAAGAAAAAGCTAAAAAGAACTTGGCAACATTTCAGGATAGTCTGAAGAAACCCTTGCTGTTTTTGGCCACCCTAACCCACAGAAGCAGACTGAGTGATGTAAATGATGATGTCTTTCTCTTTGCTAAAGACCGGTTCTTCATCGGAGAAGCCCTTGAGTACATCAGCAGCAATCAGAGGTAAGACAACTCTAGATCTACTGATCTACCGCTAAGACTAGATCTAGATTCTAGATCTAGATTTAGGTTTAGAGTCTAGGCCTACACTGGATTTAATAAATTGTGGCACCTTACTTTTTGTATGTTACTATGTTAGCATCATCATCATCTTGTATGTTTGAAGAAAAGAAGGGGGCTCTCGTGGCCTAGAGGTTAAGGTGTTCGCCTCTCATTCAAAGGTCCCGGGTTCGAATCCGGGTAGCGACCGAAAAATTTTCTTCTCTAAAATTGCCTCCTTTCACCTCCTTTCCTGCTCTCTAGCAATGTTCTGTTGCCTGCTTTCATTTCCACTTTCTGCCCCCACCCCCTCACCTCCTTTGCCCCCTCTTCTGGGCTCCTGACTCTTTCTGCACCCGCACAGCCTTTCTACTGCTACTCCTTGGCTCCTCCTTACCGCTGTCTTTCTGCCACACCCCTGATCTTCTGAAAGGAAAGATCTACACCTAGTCCTAGCCTTCTCGGACAAGGGCGAAAAATCTCGGAGGGCCCGTGTGCAAGTTGCGCACATTAAAGATCCCTTGGTGGTCTAAAATCGATAAGAGTAGGCTTCGGCCGCCACCCGGGCAAAATTCAAAATTTCCTACCAACTGAAAATATTAGAGGTGTGTCCCGCGCGCTCATATGACCTATGCAGTTGCGAGCGCCGTAAAACAGTTCACAAAAACAAAAAAGAAGAAAAGAATCAATGTCAATAGTGCCTTTCGGCATTATATTTTATAGTATAGTATGGAGGCATTTTATAAATATTACACACACTTCTGTCAAGAAGACTCAGATTGTTTGGTCTCTTGAATTGACTCTCATTGTAAACGCAGATTCTAATGTACTGGGAGGAAGTGCAAAGCAGCATACAAAAGTATAAAGTTGTCATGGAATAAGTTATTATTAGATCTATGGTTTCTTGAGGTGTCGCCCTTGGGACGTGAGATTGAGCACTTTCCAATACCACATTCATTACATTGCAATATATGAGCCATTGCCAAAACGTGGGGAAAAACACATGATCAGAGTGTCTACGCACACGGTAACCGGGCACCTAGCCTCAATGTCTACGTACACGGTAACTGGCAACCGGGCACGTAGTCTCAGTGTCATGTACATGGTAACCGGGCATGTAGCCTCAATATTTACGCAACCGGGCATGTAGTCTCAGTATCACCAGAGACTATTATAATGAAATACTCTCTGGTGTCACGTTCAGGGTAACCGGGCAGTTCAGAACTGAGAACTCCAAGTTCAGTTTCTGTCATCCGGTGTTGCCTTCATCCCCACCCCTCCCCGGACTGTACCTTTTAGAAAATCAATAATCTCCCCCAACCCATTCCGGAGCCCTATACTTTGCAGCACACAGACTTTGAATGAACTTTGGTGACCCCAACCGGTACTCACAATTTGATACACACTCACAGGTTCACTGACCTGTCACGATGGCGAGCTTGACAATACGCATGACTTTCTTTTTTTTTTCAGCAAGTAACAGCACAGGACAAATATTGATTTATTTTCATTCCAGTTACTGTGTACGTAGATACTGGGACTAGGTGCCCGGTTACCGTGTACGTAGATCAGAGAGGGTTTACAGAGATAGAGAGGTGACACTCGTGGCGGCGCTCCATATAACAACAGTGCATTGTTTCGCGTATCGCCCGGCGCGGGGCGTGAAAACACTTAGGCGCGGTGATCGCTGCCACGGCGATGCCCAGGGATGCTGTCATGTCATGAGAAAATGTAGTACCCTCTGTAGTTAGTTCACTAGTTTACTCGGCCTTTAACAAAGAAGGTGGCCTGTGATTTCTATCGCATATCTGAGGCAACCCCACCTCCCTCGACCTTTAAGTTAACATACATTTTAATAAACAAATAGGCGCAGATACATTACTACGTCTCTATAGATCTGAAAAAATAATATCACCGTAATTAAAGGAATAATCGGTTTAATTTTCAGCAAATCTACTCGTTCTCCAGTGTCCCTCTGTCTCTCTCTCTCCCTCTCTGTCTGTCTGTCTGTCTTTTTTTTTCTCCCCGTCTCTTTTTCTCTCTCACTGTCTCTCTTTCTACCCCCCTCTCTCCCCCTGTCTG